TATATATATATATACTATAAATCAAATACTATACACTATTTCATTCTATAACTTTAATTAAGATTAAAGAGTGAGACACAATGTAAGCACAAGTAAAATAGTATTCAATGTATATACGAGAAGAAAGTAGGATATATCTTTCTCCCTCATAAGATTTTGACGAAATTGATCGTAGTCATGCAGATTCTAATATTAGAATCTCTATAAGTTTATTATGAAGTATACTTGTTGTAACAACATCATGGATTCAACATTGATATTCGTGACAATTTCACGACAGTGAATTCACGATGATTCATTACAACTTCATACTAATTAAAATTTTAACGTAAAGTTGTTACGAATTATCATTATATCATTGACGAATGTATGATATGCATTTGCAATAATTTTGCGCATAGTAAGTTTAAAAAAGTAAAATCTTTATATCAAAAATGCTTGCATTTTTTTCAAAATGTCAAAAAAGCAACTTTTAGAAATGCAAGCTACAGCTTAAATTGTTGCGGCAAAATACCGGCGCGACAGCAGATATACAATTTTTAGAAAATAAAAACTTACTTTGTACTTTAAATTCTCATAATTCATTGAAAAAATCGTAGCGTAATAATAAAAAAAAAGATTTTAAATATTATATTTTATAACGCAATTAAAAAAATTTGCAAAAAATTTTGTTTTCCCCATACCAAAAATTTAAAGTTTAGTTCTTCTTTCAAGATTTATATACTTTCGAGAAACATTCTATGCAGCATCATATAATACGAATCTGTCAAACTATTCGGTAATCGCCGTGTTTTTTATACATGCACGACTTGTCAGATTTATTCCACGATTTTTCATCATTATCTTCAATTTTGGAGCAACAACATTGACTATTGAAACTATTAATTAATTATTAGTTAATAAACGCAACAAGTGCTCTGTGCTCCGTGAGCTCGTCCATGAACAGCTCTTATCAACAGAAGAGAGTTAGACATTTGCGCAAGTCGATAAAATCGTATCACTACAATATATTAAAATATATTAAATTTTAATAAATATTTGTTTAAATAGTTCTAAATAAATATTTACTAAATATAAACATATATTTATT